ATATATATATATTTGGTAATTATTTGATTATTTAAATATTTGCAGAAATTTAATTAAAAAATAATTAATATTCACGTACAGAATAAATTATTCTGACGTCACTTAAAAATTTCGAAGATATATTTATATTCTGATTTGATATCTGAAATATTTGAAACATTTGTAATTCTTTTTATTTAATTATATGTTTTGATATTTTATCAATGTTAATTTATTTTTATAAATTTTTTTAATTTCACAAATTTCTACAACAATGTACTCATGATTTTATCGATGGTCGATATATTAGCGGATTTATCGATCTTTAATATTTATTGATGTTAATTACAAAGAATTCAAAAAGATGGCGCAATGATGTTTTACAGCTTCAATTTATCAAATGCCAACCGGTCACATCTCTGATACAAAATTCAAATGGACGTCAAATTAAAGACAATATTGTTGAAAGTTAAAATAGCGTGCTATGCGATGAACTGTTTGATTATTGTGTGATGTGAGATATGACTAGAAATTTTTGTGGAAACTAAAACGGCATATCGAGAGAAGAGAAAATAAAACAATCGATATAAAGGAAGATGAGTGTCACCAGTAAATTGCTCTATAACAAGCTTCGCGGATTGCGTCCAGATCTATCATCGGGGATCACACCTGAGATCTTGAGCAAAGTATGCGATGATCCGAGCACGCAGCCTTTTCTGGAATGGTTCTGCAAGAACGTGAGCAGTGCCAATATTCTCTCCAACGAGGAGATAAAATTGTAAGATACCTCTTTTACAAATTACAGTTGATAACCACTGATATAACTGGACTAGATTTCTGATGATTTTTTTCTTCTTTTACAGAAAAAATACACTGGAAGATGCTGGCGAAATATTGGAAGGTGAAGCATTGGACGCCGCAATAAAGGAAGCCACCAGAGATTGCCCGAACTTGTTGAAACTAGTCGACATAGATGATACATGTCGAGAGGATCTATTTGTGGAATACGAAGCATTGAAGGAAAGCTGCAGAGAAGATGAGAAGTATCTTCAGTCATTGAGACATAGTATAAAAACTCTGAAGTAAGAACTTTTATAAAGTTATGTTTTTTCTCCTTTGAAGTATTTATGAAATAGCTAAATAATTTAGAGAAATGATTTTTGTTGTAGAGAAGTCAAGAATAAGCTAGATGATGACATTGAAGAAGCAGAAACTATGCTCAATAAAGAACAGATTGAAACAGAAAAGGCATATGACGATTGCAGTGTCATTTTGAAAAAATTTGATAAAGAAACTTGTCAGTTTTCAAAAGATATCGAGAGTCTTTTAAATGTGTATGCCAATGCTGCTAAGAATGTAATTATCTTAAACTTTGTAACTAATTTTACGAGTTATATGACTTATCTATTATTTTCTTTTTTAGCGAGGCAGTGCAGTGTTATGGTCACAAATGCCTATCCATTTATTTAGTAAACAAATAGAACTCTACAATCATTATCTAGGTATTCATATAAAGAAGCAATTTGGAACTAGTGTTAACAAAGAAGAGCAAGAAGAGGATTCAGATTACGGATCTCTAATAAATGATAGTAGGGACAAACAGATGGATGAAAGAATGCTTGAATTACACATGTGTAAAAAAAAGTAAGTAAATAGGCAATTATCTTTTTAAATATATTAAGTAATATTAAGTATAATTGTATTTTTTCTTATTTCTTGTATAGCTTAACCCATGCTAAATTAGAAGAGATTAATGCTAGTGTTCAAGAGGATTATTACATGGCAATATTACAATGTGTACAGGATATCTATAATGGTGGAATTTTAAAAGTGCCTGAAGATAGTAAATTACAGTGAGTAAAAATTACTACTCATGTTAAATTTATTTACGTCGATTATTTCATAGTAGAATAATTAATATTACCTATATATATATATATATATTATATGTATATATATGTGTGTGTGTTTGAATGTAGAACAAAGAAAATAATGTTTTATATATTAAATCATATTTTATTTATAAACAGCGACGAAATGCAAACGTTAATCATAAAAAGAGACATCTTGGAACAGAATATTGAACTTTTGCGAGATCAACAGTTACCAGAAGTAGTAGTGCAATATGCTGAAATGGAGACTATTAAGATCTTGAAAAATGACGCACTTGCCCGTGTCGAACGGAGGAAAGCCCGTCTCGAGAAGCTCAAGAATTTACATTCTCTCGCAGGAAAGCACGGACATGTTCACGTGGATCTGCTGTATTTATTAATGGAAATGCAATTTCGTCGCCTGCACGAAGTTGCCGAATTCATCGCTGACGCTCGTCATTATATTATTACGGAATATAAGCTTTCTTCTGCAAGATGTGTTGGTACCAATGCATTTCTCTCTTAATTCAATATTATTTTAATAAAAATAATAATTTGCACTATTCATAGAAACATAATGAAATGTGCAGGAAGTCATGCAACAAGAACAAGACGAATATGCGGCACTTGTAACGCAATTTCCGGAAACGAACAATGCGTTTAATCAAATATTTATGTCTATGATGCTTGGTGACGATATCTCGAAGTCGTCATTCTCTACTGCATTGAAAAGATACGACGACTTAATAGCTGACAACGCGAAGAAGAAGAAATTAATACTGGAAACATATCTGAATAATAAAATCGACAAATTACAAAAATTGTAAGTACTATTAATAATTTCATGTATCGATGATACATTATTTTTCTATGAGTATGTTTGATATTTCGATGGGTTTAGAGAGAATGAAATTAACAAGGATTACGTAGCTGAGACGCAAAATGGACCGACAATTAGCTTCAATTCAACTTCATATGAAATAAGTTCCAAGTGTGAGGAAATGTCCACAATCGTTCAACAGGTGCAAGGAAATATAACAAAGATTAGGAATCAGTTCAAAGAACGAATGGTATAACGCTATAAATATATTAATAGTTCGTGAAAACATATGACATTTGTTAATAATTCCCGTATTACAGAGGATGGACGCCAATTTAGAACGCGAGAAGGACATTTTATGGCAAAGATTTTTGGTAGAACCTGATACATTAAGATTGAAATATGAGGAAGCAAAACAAAAAGCGAATGAATTTCACTTTAGAGATACCATAGAAAGTAAATTGAATTAACAATTTACAAACCAATTATATTATGGAGATAAGAAAAGAGATATTCAATATTTCAAGTTTTTGTACTTTTTTTTAAACCAAAATAATTAAAACACAGTAGTTGTAAATATATTTGTAAAATACAAAGTTATTCATTTCCTCCATTCTCCCCCCCCCCAATATTGATAAAAATAAATTTACTATAAAAAGTTAAACTCATTGCTCAATTTGTGGTTAATATATTATTCATAATAAAGTTCGCTGAAAAGCCTTGAAAGTTGGTTTAATATAAATATTATAAATATTGTAATCAATTTTGTGTGAAGATAAATTTGTGTCCCCCCTCCTATTAAATCTTGGATACATGGCCTTTTTAATTCTTTTAAATTATTAGACGAAACCCGATCGCTGAATTTTTGTGGACATAATCCGCGTGGAGCATTACATGATGCGATAATGAATGATTCGTCTCAAGGACGAGCGTGTGTGTGCGTGCGCGCTGAGCGCACGCGCGTATAAACATGACGAGGGATGACGTAGAGGAGGTGCCCGAGTGTAACCTTGATCCGCGCGCATCGATGTTTCTCTCCTTCTCTCCCTTCTCCCTTCCTCTCCTGTTTCCTCATCGATGTGTTGCCCTTTCGTCCTTCTCTTCGCTCCCCGTCCACCTCTTTGTCTCAAATTTCGTTCAAAATTGCCACGCTTCTGAAAGAGATCCGAATATACAAAAGCAAAAGGTTTATAATCGAACGCCACGGTTATGAATTATGAAACGTCCATCTCGAAGGTGTCTTATCGTCGCATTCCTCGAGTATGTGACAAAGGCGTTTTTACAATCGGCAGCGATCCGTGCTTGCTTTCTTAGCGAGCGGCGGGAGGGAGGGAAGCGTGAGAGAGAGAATACGGAACGGGGAAGTGGCAAGGCGAGGAGTATTATCGATTCGCCGGG